ATTATCTAAATAAATATTCTAAAATTTGATTGGTTAATAAATTAATAATGCATTTAGAGAAAATATTTATATATATATAATTTGAAAAATAATCTGCATTTAGAGAATATAGAACATGCACGTCCTAACTTGAGACTAAGCTATTTTCATATATATAGAGAAAACATGCACTTAGAGGATATGCACTTAGAGAGAGTTGACTATATATTAATTACTATAACTTAATAAATCTTAATATTCGAATAAAATATTGATTACTTTAGATATAGCAAAATACTTAAACATAGTTAAATAATAAAGCTGTTAGAGCATGGCAAATATTCAATTTGATTGGCTTGAAAATCACTAAATTACACAACATAAATAAAAATTTTTAAAGTAATACTTACTATGAAAAACTACATCATCGATTGACAATCCATAGTTTCATACAATAAATTTTTTTTAAAAATATCTTAGAGTATTTTTTATCTCTCCATACATCTTTAGTGAAAAAAGATTAATATAGATCAGTATTACTAAAGACTTTATTTAAAGAACAAATTTAGACAAATTTAAAGCAACAAATGAGGTAATAAGTTTTCAAATTTGAAAAAATTTAAAGTTTTTTAAAAAAAATGACACTGTTAATTAAGGTTGTTAGAACTAACTGACTTGGATTTTTTTTTGAAGTTAAAGTTATACTAGAAGACATAAGTATTTTTATCATTGAAATTGATATTTCTTAACAACAAGCAATACAAATAAAGCCTAAAAATTTTATTTTCGTTAAAGCAAATGTTCTAGATAAAATACTATTCAAAGATAATACTTTTGATTATATATTTTAACTGAGAGTATATATTTAGCAAGATTGGCTACAGGTAGTAAATGAACTTGTCAGAGTTTTAAAACCAGATGAATATTTAGAAGTATGCATATTTATCAATTAAATTCGTAGTTAGTAAAAAGCTTTACTAAAATTTTGTCATATTACTAATTAATATGTTTTAAAATAAATTAATAAAACATTCTATGTTATACAATATAGAACTAGCTACTAAACGTTAGAAAAAAATTAAAAACCCATGGTGAAAATTTAGCTATTATTAAGTCTAATTTGCATAATGATTTATGATATTTTTTAACTTTGAAAAAAATCTATATACTTTTGGTTTTGAAATTAACAGAAAAAAAAATTATTGAAAAAATTATTTTGGTTTGAGAAGCAAAGCACTAATGCATTTGCAATACAAAAATTAGAGAAATATGTACAAAATCAAAGTTTTATTATTTATTAGATAGTTTTGCTTTATATAAAAAGTTTTTTTGCTAATTACATATTCACTAAATTATTAAATTAGGCCAATTAGAAAACATTAAAAAAGAAGTAAGAGAATGCCATCATGATGCAAAGTCTACTTAAATCGAACTTTAACAAAATAGTATATGGCAATGTTTCAAAACAAGACCAAATTACAACTAAAAATAATGAGGAAGAGAATTTTATCTTGCCTATGAACAATAGTAATTTATTATTCATACCAACTTTAGTACCAATTGGTACCTCAACAGGTCATAATAATGAATGAGATAATACAGATGAAGATTTAGAATTAGAAAATAATACCTTTAATGCCAAAAAGAAAGAGAAGGAAACAAATGATAATAATCATAAATCGACCGAGAAAGTAACTTAGAAGCCAGAACAGCTGAAAGAAAAGAAAAAAGGTATACTTTAGGATTTATCTTATATAATTATATATTAGAGTCTTGTTCTATTCTTAATATAATAAATATAAAATTTTGCTCTATTAGAAATAAAGTCTGAATAGTTTTTTGGGAGGTTTTTCAGAAAGAAAGAAAGCAGTGATACCATAAATTCTGAGATAAACTAAAAATTTATACATTTCTTAAAATCTCTCCAGTTTTATTATATGGATCATCTAACTCTTCAAAAAATACATCGCTATCTTTGAACTGAAGTTCTGAAGACAATGATGTGATTCCGAAAAGTTAGATGATCTTAAAATGAAACAGGGGAGATTTCGAGAAGTGAGCAAATTTTTAATTTGTCTCAAAATTTATAAGAATAGCCTGTAGGGATGTTAACAGGTTTAGTCTAGTCAATTTTAGTCCAAGTCTAGTCTTTAGTATTAAGACTTTGCTAATCTAGACTAGTTCAGTTTTAAGACTTAGAGCAGACCAATTTTTTTTAAATCAGACCGGTCTTAAGACTAACTGTCCCTAAGAACAGCTATAAAAATGCCTAAAAAACCAAAGATTACCAATTAAAAGAATTAGAATTGGTGTTGAATAGATACTATTTACTCCAAGCATTTTTTAGATTGATTAGAATAAATTCAGAAATATCCAAGAAATAAAAAAAATGAAGATTAGTATTTTATTTTGATTAATTGCCTATATTTTTATAAGAAGATTGATTCTAACACTTCTTTTATCAAACTGGTCAAAAGAATTTCTACCAGCTCAAAAGAATTGAAATTAGTGTTGAATAGACACCATTACTCTAAGCATTTTCTTAAAATTCAGAAATATCCAGAAAATGAGATTGATTCTAACACTTTTTTTATCAACTAGCCAAAAGAATTTCTACTAGCCTAGAAGAATTGGAATTGGTATTGAATGAACACCATTTATTTCGGGCATTGATTGGAGTAAATTCAAAAATATCTAAAAAATGAAAAAAGCGAAGATTAGTATTTTATTTTAATTAATTGCCTATGTCTTTATAAAAAGATTGATTCTAATACTTTTTTTATCAAACTAGTCAAAAGAATTTTTACCAGCCTAGAAGAATTGGAATTGGTGTTAAATAGACACCATTTACTCTAAACATTTTATTAAATTAATTGGAATAAATTCAAAAATACCCAAAAAATAAAAAAAGCGAAGGTTAGTATTTTATTTTGATTAATTGCCTATGTCTTTATAAGAAATTGATTTTAATACTTCTTTTATCAAACCAACTAAAAGAATTTCTACTGGCCCGGAAAAATTGAAATTGGTTATTAGGCATTTCTTGAATCTATTATAATGTTATAGAACGCCTAGGAACATAGCAAAGATTATGTTTCCAAAAGATCCAGAAGATCATGACAATCATAACAAGCTATAATATATGTTAAATGGACTACCGGATAGCTGGCAATTAGATGATAGACGAAATGTACCTTTCATACTGTTACAGAGTAAAGCCTTCTTAATTTACTCTATAACGATGACATGGCACAGAGAATCCTTTTGTAGGTATATGCGGTGTTTAAGAGGTAAGTATAGCTTCTTTTCTCTTTAAGAAACTATGCCCTTCTCTAAGGCAGTTCGTGGGGAAATACAATAACAATAATAACTTATTAACACAAGAGAGAGATAAACCTTGCC